GCCATTCTTGCAGCACTTATTCGTATCGCATCTATGCCTGTGTCATCATTTGTAGTAGTCTCAGACTCCCTTAGTGCTCTACAGGCTATACGAAAATTTTATACATCTCATCCCCTAGTTCTCCGTATCCAACTTTGGCTATGCCGTATCTCTACCAAACATAAAGATATTGTTTTTTGTTGGGTCCCTGGTCATGTCGACGTACAGGGCAATGAACAGGCAGAACAGCTGCGCGCGGTCAGCAGTACATGACCTACCAATTTCCTATCGAGGTATTCCATTTCTGGACTATTTTGCTGCAATAGCTACCCACCTTCGCACCCGTTGGCAACAACGTTGGTCAACTCTGCTCGGTAACAAACTCATTCTATTAAACCGAGCATAGGTTACTGGCCGTCTTCTTGTCATCAGTGCTGAGGTTGGGAGACCACTCTCTCCCGCCTTCGCATTGGTCACACTCGTCTTACTCATGGGTATCTCATGGAGAGGCACCCTATTCCTCTCTGTGAGCAGTGTCAAGTTCCAGTATCGATTAGCCACATTCTGTTAGACTGCCCTCTCTATCAACGAGCACGCAGAATTTACCTCCAACGTCGTCTTCGTTCTACTACTCTCTCTTTACCTTCCCTTCTTGCTGATGGACCCTCCTTTAATCCTGACTCTCTCATTGACTTCTTGACAACGACTGATTTACTCCACAAACTCTGATGATACTTTTCGCACTCCCCTCAGCCCTTTCTAGTTCAGTCTCTTGCTGCCCTTTACCCTTTCACCATCCACTGCCCTGCTGTTATCCGTAACCTATTACTCATCCATCTCCCTTTTGCCACCTGATGCCCTCGCTTCCTTCCTGCCCTGCAGCGCTGTATAGTCCTTGTGGCTTAGCGCTTCTTTTTGATTATAATAATAATAATAATGTTCATATTCATCATTCATGCACAGTGACATATATATATCCACTGTTTAACCCCTTCAGGGTCCAAGGCCCAAATCTGAAGTGGTGCCCCCAGTGTCCAAGAATTTTCCAAAAAAAAATTTGTTATTTTTTCTTATGAAATGGTAGAGAATCTTTTTGTGAAGGTAATAAAACAAAAAGTACGAAATTTTATGGAAAATTGACGAAATTATGCTCTCGCGAATTTTGATGCATCAGCGATATTTACGAATCGGCGATTTTGCCGACTTTGTCTCCCATTTTAGGACAATTACATTATTCCAGTCAACCAAATTCTTAGCTATTTCACTAGTATTACTTCTATTCTATCGATTGAGCACAAGAAATCGCCAAGTCAACTGTTTCAACTACAAATTAAAGCGATCGGAAATTGTTAATTTGGCCAATTTAACACAAAGTTCAAAATATTCCAATTTCAAAATAGGTCCAGAATAAACAATGTAGGTATTCCTTGAACTAAACTAACATTTCCTCTGTTCATTAGTTATGTTTTGAGGCTTTACAAATAAATTCCATTTTGATTTTTTATTCACATAATGAATTTTTATTCACACCAAAAAATAGAAGATTTACTGTTATGCAATACTGTAATAATTGTATAAATATCATCACCATATTTGTGAATGCATATTAGACCCACCAGCTGGCGTGTATTAGACGTGTGAGGTCGTTTGTTTACTCTTGAATATCTGCAAAAATTTAACATTTCTGCTACTTTGAGCTCAGTTTCAAGCCATTTCCAGTGCTAAAATCATCTCTATTTCTGTAATATGTCTTCCATTCTATCAAATGAGACCAAGAAATCGCAAATAGAACTATAAAAAACATACGAAAAAACACTGCAAAGTTGCTGTTTTAATCGAAAAATCATGATTTCAGTTTTTTTCTCTCATTATACACAGCGGGCTGCAGGATCTGTTTTATGTGGTGCACACATACCACAGATGTATTCTCTCATATCTAGGACCAAATGTACCACTCACAGTTTATCAGAGTGAGCTGAGCTCATGACGTAGATCTACGGTTTGGACCCTGAACGTAAAGCCGTAGATCTACGGGACGGACCCTCAAAGGGTTAATACTATCCTCTCTGTCAATAAGATTTCTTGCTTATCTCTCTCTCTCTCCATGGCCTGTGATCTCTCTCTCTCTCCATGGCCTGTGTTTGTTTTCCTTAATTTCTCAACTTCAAAATTTCAACTTGTCAAAGCTTATTCTCTTAGCTTAACTATCCTTCCAGTCTCATAAACTGTCTATACCATGCTAAACATTATTATTATTATAATCAAAAAGAAGCGCTAAGCCACAAGGACTATACAGCGCCATGCTAAACAGACTTCTCTTAAACCCATATTTCCTTGTGTCATTTGCATTTCCAATATATCCAATCTAAAATATTTTAACAACACCCTCCATCTTCTAGATATCAAACTTGCATTTTTACCATACTAATTACTTCATAGGAAATGTATTAACTAAATTACTATCACTGGTACCTCTGGTGTCTACTCCATTTCCTACTCCCTCTACCTTAGTACTTCACTGAAACTGGCTGCTCTCATGCCAGTAGACTAAGAATATAAAGGTATTCACCTTGCAGACATACAATACTCTTTTCTGTCAAGCTGGATGTCTCAGCCATTCCATATACAATCTACATTTCTAGCCTATGATATGTCCAGTCAGCCCCTATATACAATACAGTGGACCCCCGCATAGCGACTTTAATCCGTGCAAGAGGGCTGATTGTTATGCGAAATGTTCTGTATGCGAATGAATTTTCCCCATAAGAAATAATGGAAATCAAATTAATCCGTGCAAGACACCCAAAAGTATGAAAAAAAAAAATTTACCACATGAAATATACATTTTCCTACACACAAAGAGAAGGATACATGCACAATAGTAGAGTAGTACATGCACAATATATATTGTGCATGTACTACTCTACTAAATGAAGAATAAATGACACTTACCTTTATTGAAGATGCAGCAATGACTGATGAGACACTGTGTCCTGGAGTGCCTTTTCCTCCTGAGTACTGTAGGTCCTGTTGGGCATTTTCTTCCAGAACAGGCCTTATCACACTGTGTATGCCACTACGATTCTTAAATCTCTCAAACCAACCTTTGCTGGCTTTAAATTCACCAATATGAGCACTAGTTCCAGGCATTTTTCCCTGTTCACCTGGGTGTTAGTCGACTGGTGTGGGTTGCATCCTGGGAGACAAGATTAAGGACCCCAATGGAAATAAGTTAGACAGTCTTCGATAACACTGACTTTTTTGGGTTATCCTGGGTGGCAAATCCTCTGGGGTTAATTGTTTCTTGGTATTCTCAATAAGCCACACCAACAACGGTGCTACAGCAGCAGCAGACGATGCTACAGCAGCAGCAGCAGACGATGCTACAGCAGCAGCAGCAGACGATGCTACAGCAGCAGCAGACGATGCTACAGCAGCAGCAGCAGCTGACAGTGCAGCAGCAGCTGACGGTGGTACAACAGCAGCAGCAGCAGCTGTACCACCAATAGTAGCGATGGTTGATTGGGGTTTATTATACAACCTGGCCAGCTCGGAGACACGCACTCCACTTTCATACTTATCAATGATCTTTTTCTTCATCTCTATAGTAATTCTCACCCTTATTGCTGTAGGGTTGGCACTAGAAGCTTTCTTGGGGCCCATGGTCACTTATTTTCCAGAAAAAAATCACCAAAAACACTGTAATAATACGAAATGTTCCGATTGTATGCTTGGATGTTACCGCGGAGGCTGGCTGGTAAACAATGCCACCGGCGGAACATGTGAGCGTGGCTCAGGCCGCACATTGGACGCGTCTCGGACGAAGAGAGGCGAGCGGGTTTTTGGGCGGTATGCGAGGCAAAATTTTTGCGAAAAAAGCGAGCGGTATGCAGATTGTATGGTATGCGATGCATGCGGTATGCGGGGGTCCACTGTATTCCTATTAAAATTATAACGAAGCGCTGACCAACAAGGGTCATACTGCGTTGAAGGGTAGGGTGTGCTAAAGGTTTAATATGGTTGATCAGAGGTTAGTGGCGGTGTGAAGTGCTATAAAGGTTGTGTAGACAACCTTCCTAAATTTTTTTTTTTTAACAAGTCGGCAGTCTCCCACCGAGGCAGGGTGACCCAAAAAAAGAAAATCCCCCAAAAGAAAATACTTTCATCATCATTCAACACTTTCACCTCACGCATAATCACCGTTTTTGCAGAGGTGCTCAGAATACAACAGTCTAGAAGCATATACGTATAAAGATACACAATATATCCCTCCAAACTGCCAATATCCCAAGCCCCTCCTTTAGAGTACAAGCATTGTACTTCCCCATTCCTAATATGGATCATAATTCTATTTTTGTTTCTGTGATGCCTGCTCCTCTCCATACATTGTCAGAGGCTTTGATCTTCAGAATATTTGTTCCTTGACCTGACCTTTACCTCCTTACCTTTTCTCATGATTTGTATTCTGCATTTCCTTTGCCTTTATGACATTTCTATACTAGCCTAGGCCCATTAGCCACCTACTCAAGATGTAATTTTTCCCTCATTGCTCTACCACTAGTCCTGCCTTGCATAGGCCAGTAGGCCTTCAGTTCTGTTCATTTGTTCTGTACTATTACCATTATTACTACTGCTACTTCTCGTTCCTCTTCCTGACGTTTCTCCTGCTGTTGTGTTTTTCCTCACTCATTGACTTTACAATGGTCCAGAATAGACCAAAGTGTCTTCCTGACTTTTAATTTTTTATTCATTATTAAAATCAAAACTAAGTGCTAAACCCACAAGGGTCATACAGCACTGCTAAAGACAAAATATGCAAAGATTAAAGACCAGTGAGGGTTAGGAGTATGCAAGAGGCAGTCAGTAGGGGAGCACTAAAGGAAAAGTAAGGCAATTGCTGACAAAAAGTCAAAGGTCTGTAAGGTGAGATAAATTAAGGGTGGTGACAACGTCAGAAGTAAATTTTGTGTGCCTGCTGATAGACAGGATATTCTTTATTTAACAGGTTAATAAAACATGACTTGTATATCAATAATATATTAAAGACTTTGTATTTTTACATAAAATCTAGAATTTACAGACCATTAAAACAATCCAGCAACTCGTGGAACTCAGTTTATTGGAGATAAAACAAACTGGCTACTTAGTTTGAGAAGCCAAGCTGTTTTTATTGCTACGAGAAAACTAGCTTCTTGCCATCTCAGACGTGCGAGGCTAGTCATTGGAAGCTGGCATGATGAAGGAAGTGAAACTACACCTTTTCACAAGTTATTGTTGGCTATTACCAGTAGTTTGACTCTCCCTTCCCTCCCCCCACCCTTCAAAAATCATTAACTTATTTGGTACCTTGTTTTTGCAGGCTGTAACAATGTTACAAGCCAGTAGAACTTCCTTCAGTTGCCTTTTCAAAGGCAGGAAGGGGGCAGGTTCCAATATTTTTTTTTTTTTTTTGCCCCATGACAATATCCAAAACATAGCTTTGACAAAGAAATTAATAAATGAAATTTAAGAGTTATTCTATGCACTGTGACAAATTCTGTCTACAGCACCTGATTTTCTAGATTGTAAACTAACATTTTACACATTCATCCTTGTACATGCAATTAACAAAATTAACAGTAAATATACTTTGTAATAAACATTGATAACTGAAACCCCAATAAATGTCTTAATTACTAGTAGCGACTGTTGTGTTTTCGAGAACTGATCCAGTAGCTGCCAGTAATTTTGACAATTACAAAATCAGACCAATAGTTCAGGATAGTGCTCTTACGCACTAGAGAGTATGACTAGTTGAATCAACATGTCTACAGCTCTAAATGGCTGCAAAAAGGCCATTTTTTGGAGACATTTCTGTGAAATACAGCCTATACACTTAATCTCTGGATGTTCTTAGGCCTTATCTAACACTTGATGCGTTTTCAAGTGGTGTACACGATTCAGTGTAACGTCATAATCTGCATCTTATGTTATACAGTGGTACCTCGGGATACGAGCTTAATTAATTCCAGAAGGCTGTTCGAGTGCCGATACCGAATGAATTTGTTCCCATTAGGAATAATGTAAATTAGATTAATCCGTTTCAGACCCCCCCAAAAATTCACTTACATAATTGTTCGAGTTTTGAGCTGTTCGTATGCCGAGGTACCAGTACTTTGAATGGACATATTTTTGGAGGCATGAGTGCACAAAACTCATTTCTAGCTCTAGTATATTTCTTGAGATTCAGTCTTAACTTCTTATAGATTGTTTTAGTTAAAGACTGCATGCATAGCCCAGCTGGGGGTATGAGCTCCTAAGGCTGCAATTTTCACTCAAATGAAAGTATATAAAATATCTATTTCAACTTACAAAAAGGCATACAAAATATAGGTATAATCTAAGCCCCCGTACTGCATTTGGGAATAATTACCCATTTTTCTGTACTAGAGTATCAGTTAAGCAGAGTATAAGTGTACCTCGAGAATAAAAAAAAAATCAAACTCCATTACTCAAGAAAATTTTCAAATAACTTGCACTTCCATATACACTACAAGAACGAAAAGGGAGAAACTATTTACAATAATAGTGCACTACAAGCCTCCAACAACTGATATGGAGTAGCATTCCTTATGGTATATTTGGGTGCAGTATAGAAGAGAATCTAAGCCTCCTTCAGAATCTTATTATGCAAGTTAATACTGATCAAAGAAACAAACCTGATCAGTGTATTAAAAAATAATGCAGCTATTTACATTGAGTGTCAATTATACAATTTCTCAGCTAAACATCCTTTCAGTTTTCTCATATTTCAAAGGGATAACAACCCTCTAGAAAATAAAGGATAGCATGGAGCAAGGCTTAACACAAACTTGGGGTCACAGTGCAATAACTGACTTCCCACCATTCCAAACCTGAGAAAATTCAGGCCTTAATATTAATTTACAGCACTGCCCCCATATGTATGTACATATCATAACCACATGTTATACCATACCAGTGAGATGTTTTCGAAAGAATATTTAGCCAATGGTTTCTGTAGTACAAAATGGTACGTGCATCAAATTAATGTTAACTTTCATCAACAAAGTAAGGACTGTTAGCACAAACTATAAACAAATGTGAACCACTACATAAATATTACAATATTCTAAAGATGGCACGTGTGTATTCTCAATATCCTTAACATTGTAATTAATGACCTCCATTATAAGAATTTCTGTAATTCCAACTTCAATTTTAACTTTCAATATCACATAAAAGTAGTGTTCGTTTACTAACTACACAGAAGTTGCCATAAAACAGTTTTCAGTGATTACACATAAATGACACAGCAACCTACATATTGAACTACACATGGAATTTTGTGCATATATGAAAAATGATTGTCACTTCTTGACTTCCTAATTTACTCCCTTGGATAAAACCATTTAAATCTTTCACTGTACGAGATGCATAACAACTTGGGCTCAAATTCTATCAGCATTTCTTTTCATTAGAACTGATCACATCTTACACTATCTGTTTATGGTTCTAGGGGTCCTGGATCATGCCTCCTGATTTACCTGGCTATTGGTGTCAGTAGCTCACCAGAAATTATTGTACCATACTTGGTGTATATCATTATGTGCTAACCCAGAGTTGAAGCCTGTAAATAAAAATCTGTCATAAAACAATATTAACTCTTGGTATAAATCTTTAGAATACCAAAATTATATTACTATACAAGCTGCACTTGGGCTAATAAATATTAAGCGGTAGTTTTACGAGGGCTTCTATTCGTGAAGTGAATGTTTAAGAGATCTTGAGTTTCATAGTTATTTTACTTGTGATTATTCAGGTGATGCATGCCCCATGAGGGTTTAACAGTTATGTAATATAAAAATTACTTTCCACAATGAAGGTCATAAAAGTTAAGTATCTGTACTTTAAATGCATAGAATTGGTGTGCAGTTCTGTTTCAAACATTTAGGTTATGAAATGTATAGGGAGAGTATAATTTTCATGCTAAGAATGTATTTAAAAGCTAATGGCAATATGAAGCCCTCTAATTTTGACGAGAGCAAAGTTTAGGCAAGGTGACTCTCTACGAGTGCCGTGGACATGCAATAAAGTGTAGCTGCCACAGCAGCCGTCATGTACACAAATGATAAACTAAACAGGATGATAAATGTAAAAAAACGATTACAAAAAATGAAAAAAATAGTGTCAAAAGAAATAAAATTACCTGTTTAATATCAAGAGTGGTATAAGCCTACCAAGAATATAGGAAAATTTCTGTAAGTAATATTACTAACTTAAAATTTTGTGATGAAACATTTTTGTAATCAAAAACATCTTTTCAAGTGAATAATATATTCTAATTTTATATACATATTTCACCAATTAATTAGGTTCCCTGTCCCAGCAGATATGTACGGTATGTACCACTACTACAAGAGGTTCATATATAATGAGTTTCCATTATTTTCACAATTGGACACCTTTGATCAGTTAAAATAACTGATCTTTGGTCGGTAATTCACTTTTTTTTGTTTTTTTTTTGTAAGGTGGGTAAATTATCCCTGCTCGGGTGATCTGCTCAAGGCGAGACACCATAGAGGGAAGAATTGTGATATGAAAATTAAACCCACTATAAAAACATCTGAATGAGTATTGTAATCCCCACAGTGAGACACGGCTCGTATAAAACGTCCCAAACATGCGCATAGCAAAAGTTTCCTACAAGTTTTTACTATGTGAAATATGGCTTTACCAGGAAAATAGAGACATGCACAGAAGAAAGTGAAAATCTTAGATATACACAAAATATACATGTACAACAAACACGCTGGTCGCACACTCAGGCTACCACAACACTCATGAGTGATACCATCTGAGGATAAAGGGCTAACTGCAGGCTCATTCATTTGAGGAAACAGGCCAGAAACCACAGACTGGCAGACTTCTCCAGGAGTCTATACTGGTCCTCACACCACTGCCTTTCTTCACCAAAATCCTCAATTAGAGTTTAATGAGCAGCATGCAGTACACTTTGTCAATGAAGAATCTTATATTACAGAGTGTATGAACAGTATCCATGTTTAGAAGAGTCACTGGAGTGGCATATTTGTAGCTCCACCTTTAGGCCCTGAAATTAAGAAGTAATATAAGTATTCCAAATTAAACAAGATATTATTGTTACAGTATATCTAAATATTTGTATTGTGTTTATCTGTACTTTTAAGCAGAGTTTTAGCTCCCAGACTCCACCTCTCAACATCCGAGCTGCTGGAATATTTAATTTCCAACTCTTAGTTTTATCATATCTACTTAGCTCTTCAATCCAACAACTCTGCTGCCACTATTCTCCTGTAGTTGGTTTCATCTCCTCAATATCCCATTCAAATACTTTTATGCATTTTTTTACTTTTACGCTGAGAAATTGAAACTATCCTGACCTTCCTTACATCAAACCTGATTCCCTCCCATTCCTCAGGTGCTGTATGACCCTTAAGAGTTTAGCATTTTCAACACATATGATTTCTTTACCCTTGAAGAATAGCTATATTACTTAACTATTTATTATACTGTAAGATACATATACAGTGGACCCCCGCATAACGATCACCTACGAATGCGACCAATTATGTAAGTGTATTTATGTAAGTGCGTTTGTACGTGTATGTTTGGGGATCTGAAATGGACTAATCTACTTCACAATATTCCTTATGGGAACAAATTCGGTCAGTACTGGCACCTGAACATACTTCTGGAGTGAAAAAAGTTTGTTAACCGGGGGTCCACTGTACAATCAAATTACCTCTGACTAACATCACCACCCCCTCCTTCAGAGTGGTATTCACCACCCTGCCCACCTCTGGGACTAAGTCCAGCTTACCAGTTTCCCCTAAATCCCTTCATAAAAGTTACCTTGTCCACACTCCAACAGCACATCCATTAAAATCTACTTGTCTTTATTCACCTTTATTTACCATACTCATGGAAGCCTGCTGGGATTATTACATTTATGGGGAAAGTGCTAAACACACAGGGGTTGAATAGGTTCAAACCACGGAAAGGGAAATCAAGCCTAATTCCTTGGATCAAAAGCCCCTCATCAGCATCTGTAACCTTCTCTGAGGGAAACCTACTGCAACTATCTGATTGTAGCTACAGTAGAAGTGTTCTGCTTATAATGTCCCATTTTTAGTGAGTAATCTATTGTATTTTTCAAATTTCAGTGGTTGTAGCACTTACTTTCTCTTCTTTCATCTCATTCCTGGCTTTGACTACAATGAGAAGATTCTGGTACACATTTTGCTTTACTTGTGTTTGCATGTGTGGTCCATTTCCCACAAATGTTACTAAAACAATATCTTCATTAGTTTTTCATAACTGTTTTCAACCTTACACCATAACTTTTACTTATCCTGATACACTCTTTGAATATGCATACAGTACTATACAGTACTGTTCTCACACTGGTATTTTTGTTTGCAGTGACCATGTCTTAATACATGATCCTGGTTTATGCCTTCTTAAACATTCTCATACCCACTCTTGAAGCCATATACTAAGTTTGCTTCTTCCACCACCATCACCTCTGCTACCTTATCCTACTTCTGAACCACATTGACAGACTTATGGCTCACCTGTCTCAAGCTTACACCCATGTAACCTTATTCCTGGTCTTCTTGCTTTTATCTCCTAGCTATGATGTCATTTCTTAAAATGTTGTACATTGTCATCATATCTTCCACAGTTCCCCTTCTCCACCAAGGTTATTTACTTTTATTAATACATCAGCCATTTCCCACCAAGGTAGGGTGGCCCAAAAGAGAAAAACTTTCACCATCATTCACTCCATCACTGTCTTGCCAGAGGTGCACTTACACTACAGTTATAAAACTGCAACATTAACACTCCTCCTTCAGAGTGCACCAAGGTTATCAGGTTCAATTTCTTCAGCTTTTGCCCCCCCCCCCCACACACACAAGCCAAGATGTGACCTCCACAACCTATCAGGTTCAATTTCTTCAGCTTGCCCCCCCCCCCACACACACAAGCCAAGATGTGACCTCCACAACCTATCAGGTTCAATTTCTTCAGCTTGCCCTCCCCCCACACACACAAGCCAAGATGTGACCTCCACAACCTATCAGGTTCAATTTCTTCAGCTTGCCCCCCCCCACACACACACAAGCCAAGATGTGACCTCCACAACCTATCAGGTTCAATTTCTTCAGCTTGCCCCCCCCCCCCCACACACACACACAAAGCCAAGATGTGACCTCCACAACCACAACTGAACATGTACAATCATAATTCTACTATCCTTCTCAGCTAAAAATAAGGATTGACAATCTGATACTCCTCACTGTTTATAAATGAAAGGTAAATGTGTGAATTTATACACAATTCTACATCAACAACAGCCTCAAAATATCTTATCTAAAATATCTGAGCTGCCCTACTGGTATTTAGCTCAAAACACATTATAGTACTTTCCACTCTAGGCAGTATATGACCCTTATAGGTTTAGGCCTTCCCCCCCCCTGAATAAAAACACTTGTCTCCTAATCCCCAGGTATTGCCTGACCCTTTTAGGTTTAGTACTTCCCCATGATTTTGGATGAAAAAGAACCACAGAAAGGAACATTATCCAGACATTTTGCCCAGGGAACAGAGGCTTCTTTGGACAAAAGTCTCAAAGTTCCTCTTGGTAATTGCCTTTTTTTCACAATTCAACTTAGCAACATTTGTCTCCACCTATGATTATTATAACTGCTCCCATTTCCCAAAGTATAACCTCAACAATATTACTGCTTCTCCATGATTATGATGATACAGTATAATACAATTTTTATTTCTTTACATATAACAAAATCTTAGCAGGCACAAGAGACTAATGTGCAATGTCGGGCCAACTAATCAATGATAATTATTAATTACCTAGAATCATTTTCTGCATGGATGATGGTGCGTTCCTTGTAATAGATTTCTTCCTCTTCCTGGTCACACAGTAACAGCACTACAGCACCAAACAGGAAGATTGCTGCTCCCCATCCTACACCATATGCCCAGCCAAATTCCCACAATGTACGGTTTCCTGAAAAACAATACAGTGTATGACAGCAATCATGATAGGGACAAATCCTAATAGGGGAAAAAATTCTATGGTCTACTGTAAGATTGTCAATGTACGATAAGCCAACTAGTATGACTTATCCACTGAGGAATCAAACTTGGACACATTTCAGTTGTGAGCCAGATTCTCTAACACTAATCTAACACCTAACAATTAACACCTAACAATTTAATGATGCCGTGCTTACGTTTTCCAACTACAGCTGTAAATTTCAAACTTTAAATGTATACACATATTTAAAGTACACTTATAAGTTTAAGGAATTTACTATACAGTGGACCCCCGCTTAACGATCACCTCCCAATGCGACCAGTTATGTAAGTGTATTTATGTAAGTGCGTTTTTATGTGTATGTTTGGGGGTCTGAAATAGACTAATCTACTTCACAATATTCCTTATGGGAACAAATTCGGTCAGTACTGGCACCTGAACATACTTCTGGAATGAAAAAATATCATTAACCGGGGGTCCACTGTATTTAGTTCATTTCAATAATAGATAGTTATACTTACCAAGCTCTAGCTCCTGGGCAAAGAACACTGGGTACAAGATTAGGGCAACCAGAATGGCAATCACTGCAAAAACAAACAAACAAAAAAAAAAAGGACCATTAATATTCACCCTGTCTCGGTGGGAGACGGCCAGCATGTTAATCTATCTATATATAAACTGTCTCCTCTATACTGGCAGTATGAATCAAAGTTTATTCTCTATAAGGATTACAATGCAGGGTTTACAGATTTTGGTTATTGTGTGGTTTACATGTAATAAAAACTAATTACAGAGGGGGTCACTAGAACACCTAGCATGGCTAGGCATTTCGGGCAAACTTAGATTAATTCTTAACCCTAAATTATTACAAATTGTGGAGCAAGGTGACTAAATACTAGTTTGCGAGTATGAAGGAAGTAAATATGTTCAGATATTGGGGAGTGGATTTGCCGGCACTGAAGCATCTGTCATGATGAAACTTGATCCATGGCAGCAAAAAGGGGACTGTACCAGAGTATAATGGTACAAAAACTATTGTATGGGTGTGAAGCAAAGATTTGAATGTTGCAGCAAGGAGGAGAGTGGATGCAGCAGAGATGCTGTGTTCGAGTGTAATGTGTGGTGTGAATATTACCTAGAGAATTCAGAGTGTGGAGATTAGGAGGTATAATGTTGCAGTTTGAAAGATCATCTGAACTGTTGTGTCAGCACCCTTCTGGTGGCAAGACAGTGACTGAAAGGGTGACTATAAATCAAGTTAGTCAATAACAGACTTGTATGACAACAGTGTATACTTAGGATCCTAGAATATGAAAGAATAACAATGCAAGGTAGTAAGCAATTGAGATTGTGCAAAAAACATGAAGTGACAGAGTGGTCAGTAATCAATGACCCAGGACCATCACCTCCAATAAAATATCCTGATCACTGCATTTTTAGTCTTTTTTCAACTAGTTGCCTAGTGTTCAATTGCTGCTTTTGTGTGTTCATCACCAACAACACAAACTACAATTGTAAGAGGGACAAGACTGGTACTAACATGCGAGGGTCATGACCCAGACGGCGATGCGATAGTAACGAGTCTTTACTGTGGGGTCATTATTGCTCAGTCCCAGACCAGTCATAACCGTGGCAATGACGTCCAGCAGCAAGCAGATGACGCACAGCGCTGCACTAGCCATGATGTATGCTGCAACAGTCAATAATAACACTTAGCATCATTACAGTAATGATATACAATACTGATGAGGAATTAGATACATGCAACAACTAAGTAACTTTGTAGACATCTTCAAACAAAGATACCCATGTGTTGCACACATGCAGGGGCAAACCTACTGTGAAACTAATGAAGCTTAAGCTTAAGGGCCCCTAAGCCCAGAAGGGCCCCAGAAGAGACTAGTCCACATTGCTTAAAAATTTTGAGTCTACTGTATGAGGAGGATTTTAAAAAATATATATATAGTGTAATTCAATACAACATAGTTTAATAACCTTTTAATTTTTATTTTAAGTATCATGTATGTAGGTTAGCATTGCTGGTTGCAAAGGTGACCCCATAATGGCTCAAGCTTCAGGACCCCAAAAAAGTAGGTCCGCCACTGCACACATGTATAATTAATAATTCTAGTAAGTCTTACATCAGCAATCTAGTAATGCTGTTACAGAAACACTAGCTATATTAACAATACTTCCCACCACAATGTCTAGCAGATTGAGCCTCCAAACCACAAGCATTTACTACAATTTGTATAAAAGTAATAAAAATGTAATACAGTAATATAATACAGTGGAACCTTGAAAATCGAACATACCAAATATCGAACATTTTGAAAATAAGACCATTTTTTTGGACAAGCTATGTACCAAAAATCGAACGCGTTTCAAATTTCGGACTGCCGGGTATGGGACCTGTCTGCCACCCGCTCTGTCCGCGTCCCCGCGTAGGCGCCGTAAGCAGTCTAGCTTTGTTTATGCTTGAGTGAACACTAACCTGCGCTCTCATTCACACATTTTACGATTATTTCATTGTGTTTAGTGCTTGTGGGACTGTGAAATAAGCTACCATGGGCCCAAAGAAACTTGCTAGTGGTACCCCTGTGGTAAAGAAAGCGAGAAACACCATAGATGTGAAGAAGGAAATAATACAATAGTATGAGAGTGGTGTGAGACTTGTTGAGCTTGCCAGGATGTATGGGAAAAACTAGTCGACCATCGGTTCTATCCTTCCAAACACTAACCCCAACTCCCTCTCTCCTCCTCCCTATCTTCCAGATGCCATCACCAATCTTCAATATAGGTAAATAAAAATGTTATTTTATATTATATCTATCTTTCTTTCAACACATCGGCCGTATCCCACCAAGGCAGGGTGGCCCAAAAGGAAAAACTAAAGTTTCTCCTTTTACATTTAGTAATATATACAGGAGAAGGGGTTACTAGCCCCTTGCTCCCGGCATTTTAGTCACCTCTTACAACACGCATGACTTACGGAGGAAGAATTCTGTTATATGTATTATATGTATGTATTATTTTATATGTATGTTATTTTATATGTATGTAAAACTGTAATTAATCTCTATAAAATGTATTTTTTGTGTGAATATTTTTGGGTTTCTGGAATTGATTAATTGTATTTCCATTATTTCTTATGGGAAATATTGATTCGAATTTCAGACTTTTCGAAATTAGAACTAGCTCCTGGAACGGATTAAGTTCGATTTTTGAGGTTCCACTGTACGTATATATTATTATAATGATAATACTACACACAAACTTCGTAATGAAAATGTATTAATGTTGAATTTTAATAAACGGGTGGCCGGGTATGCCAGTGAAAGGCATCAGTCAGATGACCATAAGCTCCATCACGCTAAGTTAAAATGACCAACAAATTAAAAATCCCATTAAATTATTAATGTTAAAAAACTGGTAAATGTTCTCCGAGGTGCCCATAAGCACCTCATAATTATAAACAATCTACTGGCATTGCGGAATGTTGTAACTGGTTAAATTTAACATTCAGGCAACAATCTAATCTAAATAATATATACCCAGAAATTTGCTGAAATTAATTTCACAGGTGTATGAAGTGGAGGCTCTGGAGTAGTGGCTGACACCACCCCACCACCACACACCACCACCACCACCACCACCACCACCACCACCACCACCACCACCCCACACCACCACCACCACCACCACCACCACCACCACCACCACCACCACCACCACCACCACCACCACCACCACCACCACCACCACCACCACCACCACCACCACCACCACCACCACCACCACCCCCAAACACCCACCACCACCACCACCACCACCACCACCACCACCACCACCACCACCACCACCACCACCACCACCACCACCACCACCACCACCACCACCCCTCACCCCACCTCCTCCCCTCCTCCCCTCCTCCTCCTCCTCCTCCCCTCCTCCTCCTCCTCCTCCTCCTCCTCCTCCTCCTCCTCCTCCTCCTCCTCCTTCCTCCTCCTCCTCCTCCTCCTCCTCCTCCTCCCCTCCCCTCCTCCTCCTCCTCCTCCTCCTCCTCCTACCTCCTCCTCCTCCTCCTCCTCCTCCTCCTCCTCCTCCTCCCCTCCTCCTCCTCCTCCTCCTCCTCCTCCTCCTCCTCCACCTCCTCCTCCTCCTCCTCCTCCTCCTCCTCCTCCACCTCCCCTCCTCCTCCTCCTCCTCCTCCTCCTCCTCCTCCTCCTCCTCTCCTCCTCCTCCTCCTCCTCCATCCTCCTCCTCCTCCTCCTCCTCCTCCTCCTCCTCCTCCTCCCTCCTCCTCCTCCTCCTCCTCCTCCTCCTCCTCCTCCACCTCCTCCTCCTCCTCCTCCTCCTCCTCCTCCTCCTCCTCCTCCTCCTCCTCCTCCTCCTCCTCCTCCTCCTCCCCTCCTCCTCCTCCTCCTCCTCCTCCTCCTCCTCCTCCTCCTCCTCCTCCTCCCCTCCTCCTCCTCCTCCTCCTCCTCCTCCTCCTCCTCCTCCTCCTCCTCCTCCTCCTCCTCCTCTCCTCCTCCTCCTCCTCCTCCTCCTCCTCCCTCCTCCTCCCCTCCTCCTCCTCCTCCTCCTCCTCCTCCTCCTCCTCCTCCTCCTCCTCCCTCCTCCTCCTCCTCCTCCTCCTCCTCCCTCCTCCTCCTCCTCCTCCTCCTCCTCCTCCTCCTCCTCCTCCTCCTCCTCCTCCTCCTCCTCCTCCTCCTCCTCCTCCTCCTCCTCCTCCTCCTCCTCCCTCCTCCTCCTCCTCCTCCTCCCTCCTCCTCCCTCCTCCTCCTCCTCCTCCTCCTCCTCCTCCTCCTCCTCCTCCTCCTCCTCCTCCTCCTCCTCCTCCTCCTCCTCCTCCTCCTCCCTCCTCCTCTCTCCTCCTCCCTCCTCCTCCTCCTCCTCCTCCTCCTCCTCCCTCCTCCTCCCTCCTCCACCTCCTCCTCCTCCTCCTCCTCCTCCTCCTCCCCTCCTCCTCCTCCTCCTCCTCTCCTCCCTCCCTCCTCCTCCTCCTCCTCCCCTCCTCCCTCCTCCTCCTCCTCCTCCTCCTCCTCCTGGATTATGGAAAATGACATTTTAAAAGCAAAAATGTCATGAATATGGCAAACAAAAATTATTTTTCAGGGCAGAGTCTTTGATAATCCATGGTTTGGTGTTTGAGATGGGTTAAATGATTTAATTTCTAATATAAAAGGAGTTTAACATGTGTGATTTGATTCATACTATAACTATTTTATTTTATACTCTGTACAGAGCTTGTAATAAAATCAAAGATTTATTTGCACGTGATACAATGTTTGTACAGAATATGGGTGACATTTGGTTGTGCATGTAGAAAGTCCATAGTTATGCAAAGCATTTCAAAGCACTTGCAAAATCAGTATTACTTTCTTTCAACCCCCTTTCCTTCCGTCGTTGGATGGATATTGTCGACCATCCTACTACCTTTCCATCATTGTTACAAAGTGACCACAAAAAGATCTTGTACAGTGGACCCCCGGTTAACGATATTTTTTCACTCCAGAAGTATGTTCAGGTGCCAGTACTGACCGAATTTGTTCCCATAAGGAATATTGTGAAGTAGATTAGTCCATTTCAGACCCCCAAACATACACGTACAAACGCACTTACATAAATACACTTACATAATTGGTCGCATTCGTAGGTGATTGTTATGAGGGGGTCCACTGTATACTGATTTGTTGAGGCTCACCATGTGCTTCTTCAGCAAGCTGTTTAATTTATGCTACTTATGAAAATCATTATTTTTTTTTTATTACCATGTCGGCCATTTCCCACCAAGGTAGGGTGGCCCGAAAAAAGAAAAACTTTCATCATTCACTCCATCACTGTCTTGCCAGAGGTGCACTTACACTACAGTTATAAAATTGCAACATTAACACCCCTCCAGAGTGCAAGCACTGTACCTCCTACCTGCAAGACTCAAGTCTGGCCTGCCAGACTTAAATACATATATCAGCCAAGGCACTTCTTGGACCTTGAAGAAAAGCCCTGCACCACAAGCTCATTTGCTACAACGTTTTGCTCTATGAAGAGTTTTATCAGGTTGCTGATAAAGTTATTTTGCAAACCTCTATATGGAATGAAACTCCACAATACAAACTAATGTTATAACCTTTCCAAGATATTAAATATTGGGTCGTCTCAAACATTGTTGTTTTGGCAACAATTAGTCCTAGAAATGGTTTTATACGTATTATTATTACTGGCAGTAACAGCTTGGTTAATCATGTAGTCAGTGAGTAAGTTTAGCCTCCGGCCGAGCTGTGAAACTGGTCACAGAGGCAAAGCCGTTACATTTCTCTTATAAAGGCACTTATCGACATAACTACTGGCTTTCTAGTCATATTCCAAGCCATCAGCCATTAAAAAATATTAAGAAAAAATGTATATAGAGTTCAGGAACGTTGCAGCAGGACACGGCGGCAATGTCATTACAGTAAACAGATACATAACATTAAATATATACAGCAGTCATTAGGAGGGTAGAGGCATTACAAGGCCACATAAGCATATCTCACTTCTTGGATAAAGCTGAGTGCTGCTGCCACATCTGCATAATCCTGGTTAAAATGCAAGGCAGGTGAGAATCATAGTAAGCAGTGACTAGTGAGAGTGAATGAGAGTGAGATAGAATGGGAGGATTATGTGTAATGCTCGGGAGACAATATGAAG